TATTGAGCTGCAAACAAGACCCCGAATCCACAAAGCCTAAACCTACCGAAATGAGCACCTAGTGGCCTAATGAGGCTTAAGCTTCTGCTATCCGAAGGGCAATGGCGGCAGCTCGGCTGCCTGCCCTCCTCTGGGCCCATCTGCCCATCTGCCCGAGGAGGCATCGCCGGAGGCCGAGGCTGGTCAGAAGCTGTTTTAGAAATCCGGTTTCAGGTGTTGTGGCGGGTCCTGAAACCTTCCTGGTGCCCTTCCCGAACTCATAACGTGTGGCCCTCTTCTGAGACCCCCTGAGACCTTCTGGGAAGGGGTCTGGTCTACTCCTTTCTTGGACCTTCCTGACTTCAAGACATGTTTATTGTTGGGACTTGCCTTGTGAAGGCGCCTGGAAGGTGCCTGGGATTACCTTTGGACGTTTTGTCCCTCAAAACAACTCTGGATTCTGGATTGCGCATAGCCCAAGTCAGCCGCCAGCCCCTTGCGATTGCGCTGACCCCCGTATAAACCCTGAAGCCCGAGCACCAAGCCCTGGCTGCTAAGCTGCAGGGTCCCACAGCGAGCCTAGACTTTATACGTCCCGCAAGCTTACTTCCGCTGCTGGTGCAAAGTTTCGGCGTGGCGTGGTCCGGCCCGGCTGCCGACAATTACAGTTTTTCAGGCTTTTCCGATCGACAGACACAGTGCGTGCTCCAAACACAAGTACAACTCCTCAATCTCAAATCTGAAAGTCTCAACAAAAGGATCCTTTTTCCATCGTCATCGGGAAGACCCGATGTACAAAATCCCTAACCCCTGAACGTACACACCCGGTACCTCCTAGGTACAGTTGCAGTTACAGCATGCTGGCCTTGATTATCGGAGACGCGTGTAACCTGCGCTCCTCCGGAAGGTAAAGTGTTGAATTGATTTAATAAAGCACTGGACGGCACGCTGAAGGTATGTGCCCACAGCCCCTCCCACCCTGAACCCCGAACCCTGCACCCAGCAGTGCAGTTCAGCCTTCGCGCTCCTTGCGAAGCATCACCAACAGCACCATGTTTTGCCTGCTGGTCTTTACTTCTGGGTCCTGCTTCCTCGGGGCATCTTATGTTTTGGTTAGGGTAGTTTTTAGGCGGTTCAGGATTTTTGCTACCCCACCCCAAAATGAGGACTCCATTTCTATCACATGGCTTTTTGCTGGATCGCACTTTAGACACTTCCAACATCATACACCTTTAGCACCCAAACGCTCGACTGCTTAAACTGCTTGCCCTGCAATCGAATGCACCAAAAACGATAAATGTCCCAGTGAATTCCAAGTTCAAGGCCCTAAGCCCTAAACCGTGCCTTCTCCATGACGCAGTTGTAGAATCGAAGGCTTCTCAAAACAAGGGACAGCGTAGAAATGCTCTAAACCCTCTATGCCAGAAGGAATGGTTCTACTTTGACGGGATGAGCGGAACTAACTCTATCGATGATCCCTTTCTGCTTTCCTAGATGACATACCCCAGGTTTTGAGAGGCGACGCCATCGCTGGCCAGCCCCGCTGGCGAGCTTTGAGCCGGAAGGCAGGGAAGGGGGAGGGGGGGGGGGGGGGCACGTTTTGCAAAAGCAGTGAGGGACGATGGCAAGCGCACAGAGCTTTCCAGGCCCTTCTAAGAGCCTTTTTGACTTCGAAGACTTTTCATGAGAATGGGACAGGATATCGTAGCCCCTTCCCCAATGAGTACACCTACAAGCCAGTGGGAGGTGCACAGACAGCTCCAACAAAGTCGGCGCCATAATTATACGGTGCACGGGCCCACGGGCTGCTCGCGCCCGACAAGAGGGTGGTTAAAGTAAGTTGAGATGTTTGTCCTCTGTGGGAAGAGAGCCCCTGGGATTTGGGAAGCACAAACCCAATTAGGGGCGCTCGGCAATTTGGACCGAAACATCTGCGAGAATTTTGCTCTGACCAAACAGATCGCGCCAGACATGGGCTGTTCCAGCTTGGTTTCGGTGCTAGGGTTTAAGGGTAAAAACTCTCACTTTAAGGGATATCTGATATCTGTCCTTAGGTCCTTGTCATGACATCATGCACGGGTCGTGCTTGTGAGCAAGGAACTATTCCCGAAACCCTGAAAAGACCCTACACCTGCTGGAATGCCAGCTTAATCTGAATGCTGAAGAACACCGAACCTGCGCGGCCAAGACTTTGAGTTTGCCACATTTAGGGTTAAGGGCCTAGGGTTTAGGATGCGGCCGCGCGTGGCCCTTAAGGACCTTGACCCTCCACCTACTCTCCATTGAGGCACGATTATGTACCCGCATATACCACACCGTGCACCGCGCATTCACCACACCACACAGAATATAGTATAATATGTAAATGTATGTATATCTAAGATATATACATATATGCATATATACATGTATACATATATACATATATACATATATACATATATACATATATACATATATACATATATACATATATACATATATACATATATACATATATACACATATACATATACATATATATATATATACATATATACATATATACATATATACATATATACATATATAAATATATACATATATGAGCGACTGCCAAAACCGGCTGGTGGTGCTAATGGACGCAACATGGGGGTGTGTCGCTTTCCAAGTGTTCCCATCGGTTTACAGGTTTTAGCATCAATCAACCACGCTTGATGTCTGCAGGTGTCGCTTTGGGCAAAATTCAAGGTTTCAGCACACCCAACGGCTCATTGACTTAGGGGTGTCGCTTTCAAGTGTTCCCATCGTTTTACAGGGTTTTCGACATTCGTGTCCACCCCTTACTTACTTGAATGGCTGGGGGTTTTGGCGCTTGCTCATGTATATATATACACACATATATATGTATATAGAGGCTCTTGCATGGTTGCTGGATGGGCTTGGTGTGCACGATTGAGGAGGGAAGAGGATCGCAAATACTTTGCTGTCATATTTGCGATTTATGCGTCTTCGTGGTTTCCCATCGTCGCCAGATGAGGGCTGTTCTACATCCTTGTTCCCCTGCGCGTGCCTTGCGCTCACGAGGTTTTCGCAAGTACTGGTACGGCTCTGTAACTTTCTGGGCCCTGGAAGCTCGCCTCTTGTTCGCCTGCAGAGCTTGCGCAGAGCTGCATCACTGGGTCAGAAATTGGATTGTGTCCAAACTGTATGGACACGCTGCTACCCACGGATGAAAACATCGTGCGAATAAAGTCGGCAACTCACGCACAAACAGAAAGATCTGACATGGAAAAGTTGCAAGGCCACAAGATTTGTAATGCTGCCTAACCTAGCCTCGATAAGTGAGCCGTCTTGGTCGCCACCGTCCCTCCGCCCACACCCGGCCCTCCCAAATCCATCACAGCCGTTGCAGCCCCACCAGTCCGTGCCCACTTGGCTTGAAGGCTCATGGCACGGGCTTGAGCCTCAAGTGTGCTGAGTGGGCGAACGTGACGTGGCCATCCTTCCGTGCGCGTATTGCCAGCTCTTCGTGGGAAGCCTCACTCGCCAGCATCGCACCGCGCTCCCCGCCACGCACCCCCGTCCTCAGCACGCAGACCCACTGGCCACGATGCCCGGCACTGCTCGAGCTCACCATTTTCTGTAGGCGCGCGTGCATGCACAGCGCACGCTGCCTGTGCATGCACGCGTGCTGCAGAAAACGGTGGCTCGAGCAGTGCCGGGCATCGTGGCCAGTGGGTCTGAGTTGCTAGGACTGGGGCGCGTGGCGGGGGGCACGGTGCGATGCTGGCGAGTGAGGCTTCCCACGAAGAGCTGGCAATAAGCGCACGGAAGGATGGCCATGTCACGTAGCACACTCAGCACACTTGAGGCTCAAGCCCGCGCATGGGACTTCAAACCTCCATTGATGTAGTCAATGGGGCGGAGGGACGGTGGCGTCGGCTTACCTGCGAACCGAGAATGAAAACCGGAACCGCGAAACCAACACAGAAACCCAACCGTAAAAGGTTCCTATGCCCCGGGGTTAGGGGTCACGGTTGGGTTGAGGCCTCTCAACACGTCAAGACACGCCAGAGGAAGAGGAAAGCGAAGTGGAGGGAAGAGAAGACAACAGCAAAGAAAAGCTTTGGGGTTTAGGGTTTAGGGTTCCCATAGCCCGAGCTTTGAACCACAGAACTCACATTCCCGACCACAGATGTCAAGTGTACAACGAAAGTGGGTATATCAAGGAAGTGGAAAACTGGTTGCGAAAGACTATGTTTGCAGTGTATAGCACTTCAAAGATCCTGCGAGATTATCCCACACGTTGTTGGCCTCAAGTTCCATCCCACGTCGTCTCCCTCGCTAAGGAGTATATCCATGTATCTCCGCGATTGCCAACGGCTGATCGTCCACCGGAACTTCCGCGGCTGGGGGTCGCGGATGCTTGCTGGATTTGCTGGCTATCCGAAAAGCTGCCCAGTGAGGAGATGAGCGAAATGACCGGCGAGAAACGCCGAGATGGGCTTTGAAGCGGTTTGGATGGATTCATATGCTTTGAAACAAGCTGAGCCTGTATACCTGTGGGCATCTGTCGGCCCCCGCGTTGCTGTATAAGCACGCTGGATCTAAGGACTTCAGACGCTCTTTTGAAGCATCCCTCGTGCTCTCAAGGCCGTATCAGAAGCAGGCAGCTTTTTCTTGCGTTTTCGACCCATCTCAACCCTGGCACACAGTTGCCTTGAGCAACTGCAGCTGTAAGGATCTCAGGGGCAAATCAGATCTTCCACCCTGAAAATAGGTCACGCAGATTCGACGTAGATGAGTAGTCATCTGCGTGCAGCGACCTAGTGACCTGCTGCTCTCCCTCTCCCCCCCCCCCCCCCCCAACAAACCCTGCAACTCGGTGAGACTGTTGCTGCGTGAAACGGCAAATCCAGGGCTTCGAAGGCACCAGTGTTTGCATACTCCGTGGGTATTCAATGTTTTGGCCATGGTATGCCATGGATCATGGTCATATCGACTGTAGGACACTGTAAGACTGTAAGAGTCTTGGCTCGTCACACCTCTTCATCAGATGCTGCCGCGGACTCCTGTTCGCGGATTGCAGGAACTAGTGCCAGTAAATGTCAGTGACAGGTCGAGAGATGAAGGGTCTGCTGGACTCTGTTGCGCACTTGGCGATGCTCAGACAGCCCATCTCACTCCGTTTTGATAGCAGACCTGTAGAATCCTGCAGACCTGACCTGAGACAGTCCCTTATAGTCCCTTCGCACCTCCTCAAGCTCCAGCATCGCGTTGGCGTGCACTTCTCCGGCCTGGGGCACCTGCTCGGCGTCGCTCGCCTGGAAGGGTCTCGTGTGTACAATGCGACCCAATGGCCTCCAAATGGGAACAAAAGTGCACGGTGCTTTTCGGACTTCAAACCCCGAAAGATGGCCAAAGAATGTCCATGGGGGAAAAAAATCCCCGACAAAGACCCAATGAAAATCTCTATGGCTCCTGGAGCTGATGCTGCATCGTGTTCTTCATGTTGTTGGTCTTCTCGTACATTTCACGGTCTTCTTCAGCAAGCTCCACCTGCTGCGCTGTGAGCTTCTGGGTCTGGACTCGCCCCGCCTCGTCCCCCCCTCCCCGAAAAAAGAAGAAGTGAACTTAAAAACTGGACCTTTATGACTCAATGTGACCTCGAAGTCGCAAAGCTGCATATTTAATTCCCGAAAGCATCGCGAAGGGTTCTTCCGTGCGGAGCCCTCTGACCCAACAACATAGACTGAAGTGCAGAGAGTCAACAACATAGAGTGAAGTGCATAGAGTCAAGTGCATAGAGTTAAGTGCATAGAGTGAAGAGCCCTGACCCAACAACATAGAGTGAAGTGCAGTGAGTGAAGTGCAGAGAGTTAAGTGCATTGAGTGAAGTGCAAGAGTGAAGTGCATAGAGTAGAATTCACGAGATTTTAGTACAATGGAGTAGAATTTACGAGATAGAATTGTAGTACAATTTACTAGAATTTACGAGATGTTAGTAGAATTTAGTAGACCTTCGTACCCAGTCCTACATTTCTTAACTAAAATTACTCTTTTTAAGGCGGCGGGCAGGGTTGACGTCGTCAATCGGGATTGCAACCCTCTGCGGGTTTCGGCGTGGTCGCGGTTCTCAAAACGTCGTTGTTTACGTTTCTTCCGCGCCGCGGACAACCCTCTACGGGTTTCGGCGTGGTCGCAGTGCTGAAACTATCGCTTTTTTACGTTTCTTGCAGTGTGCGGACAACCCTCTGCGGGTTTCGGCGTGGTCGCGGTGCTAAACCCGTCGCTTTTTTACAAATGTAGTACGCCGGGGACACCCGGAGCCCGTGGAAATGTCGTGGGACTCGAATTCCGGGATATCGAAACCCTCGCAAATATCGTGGGACTCGAATTCCGGGATGTCGAAACCCTCGCAAATATCGTGGGACTCGAATTCCGGGGCGTCGAAACCCTAGCAAATATCGTGGGACTCGAATTCCGGGGCCTCGAAAAACCTCGCAAATATCGCGGGACTCGAATTCCGGGGTGTTGAAACCCTCGCAAATATCAGAATATCGTGGGACTTGAATTCCGGGGCTTCGAAAACCTCGCAAATTTCGTGGGACTCGAATTCCGGGGTGTTGAAACCCTCGCAAATATCGTGGGACTCGAATTCCGGGGCCTCGAAAACCTCGCAAATATCGTGGGACTTGAATTCCCGGGTGTCGAAACCCTCGCAAATATCGTGGGGCTCGAATTCCGGGGCCTCGAAAACCTGGCAAATATCGTGGGACTCGAATTCCGGGATGCCGAAACCCTCGCAAACATCGTGGGACTCGAATTCCGGGGCGTCGAAAGCGTCGCGGGAGTCGAATTCCGGGATGTCGAAACCCTCGCAAATATCGTGGGACTCGAATTCCGCGGCCTCGAAAACCTCGCAAATGTCGTAATGTGGTGGGACTCGAAATCCGGGATATCGAAACCCTCTGAACTTCAGATGTATTGAATGCCGATGAAGTGTATAGAGTTGACCACAAGTGCATGGCATTCAAGTCAACACACGAATGCTATGCAGTTCTACTGCATAGCACGTGCAGTATACAAGTGCAGTATACAAGTGAATATGCAACCATATAAGTGCATACACTTGTCCCAGTGCATACAGTTCCAGTGCAAAGAGTCAAGTGCATGGAGTCAACGCACGGCAAATCGATGCTTTCGGGCCATCCCTCTTCTAGTACATTTTTCATCGGTGGCACAAGTGGCACACGCATTCGCCTCGCCTTGCGCTTGTTGGTGGCATCTGAGCCTGCCTGGCAGAGCGTGACGGTTGAGAATGGTTGAGAGCTGACGAAACGTGAGCGCTTTGGTTGACCCCTGCGTATGACCAAGTGTTACAAACATGCTAGCGGAGGCCCCCGGAACAGGCTCTCCTACGGTCTCTTTCAGTCGTCTGTCCTCTCCAAGGCTCCATATGTTACATTTTATTTTATGGGACTCGGTGGGACTTAGTTGGACTGAGGCCTGGGGCCTCAGCTCGGATTGAGTGTCCGAGCGTGACTCCTGAAAACGAACCTGCGCTAACAAGGACGCTCATGCTCCAGCTATGGATGCAAGGTGCAAGGCCAGATATGCCAGGTCTGGCTGTGCACAGGGACCCAGTCAGGACCCAGTGCCGTATCAACGACGGTCAACCCCGGCACGGCCTCATCGGGTGCAGGATGCACGCTCCGAGGCTTCAAGGCAAGGTATGGCACAGACTCAGGCGATGGGACCTCAATGCCAAGGCTGCCAAGGCTGAGAGTCTCCCAGGCGTCTCTTCATGTCAAAGAGATGATGTGTTATGTACTGTGAGCAGTCACGAGATGTCGGGACACATCGCTACATGTAAGAAGACCTTGCAAGAATTTGCTGTGAAGCTTCACTTCGCGTGTCGTGTCAAGGGCTCTTGCAACACCGACGAGGACCGCAAGAGAGGTCAGCTGAATGGCACGTTGGACCTTGGCCACAGCCCAAGTCAATGTCAAAGCTGGCTCCAGCGCTTGCTCAAGCTCTTGCTCCCGCTGTTTTAACCTCCCTTGGGCCGGAGCCGCGAGCCCAGAGCTCCGCAGCGGTGTCAGGTTGTCCAGAACCTACGAGCAGGTTTTGGGTTCCAAGGGGACTAAAACCCATTAAAACCCCTTGCGCACGAAGAGCTGAGTTGTGTCCGCCTCCAGCGTCAACCTCAGATCGTGTCAGTCTCTTGCTGGCTTGGTCTTCTAGGGTTCCTTTCCTTCTCAGGGGTTGCAGCAACTTGTACTAGCATGTGAACTGTATTGGAGGCCAAGGCACTTGGCCAGCACGAGCAGCAAGACTAAGTATCCCAGCAGCACGGGCAATCTCCTCCGGCTTCATCACCAAGCGCTGACCATCTCTACAACATGCAGAAGTCAATACGGAAGCCTGTTCTTAGCAGTCCTCCTGGCGAGAGAGCCCAGCAGCTGCAATGCACAGCCACAAGCTGCAAAGACAACCCAGCGCCAGGCCTCAAGTGGAAATGCTAAAACCCAAAGGCCTGCAGTAGGGTCTATGCAGGCTGCATGGGCCTCGGTTCGGCTTGTTTTACCCAGAGCACTGTTCGTAGGGGTCCTAGGGGTACAGAGCAAAAGCACTCGTTTGTCCTGCGTCCGGCCTCAACTGCCTCAGGGACTTCCAGGCGCAGCTGTGCTGCGGCGCAGAAGCAAACCGACACCTGAGGTGCTCTCCAAGCCAGGTGCTGAAGACTTGCTGAAGGCAGCACAGGCAGAGCAAATGCAAAGCAACAGTTGCGAGTAGAGAGCAGCAGATGGCCCCAGGGCTTGCCAGCTTTTCTCCCACAAATAGGGACCTCTTTTTCGCAAATCCTCTCTTCTGAGGGCCCGGACCAGGACAGTGGACCAGCGTTTCAAGTCCTGTCGAACGGTCTTGGTCAAAGCTCGGTTCATCGGTTGAGGGGGGGGGGGGGGGGGGGCTGGGGTTCGGGGGCTCACATTACAAACAGAGCCCACCTTTACTTAGATGCTCCCCGCTCTTCAGTCTGATACTCCAAGCCGCCTCTACCTGGATGCTTGCATCAGAACTGGTGCCTCCATCCACGCGTCTTCTCGGCCACAGCTATGCCTGAGCTCAGGCGCTTGGAATGGTGCGCTGTTTGGGCTGTCTGGACCTTTCTACGCGCTTAGCTCGGGCTTAAAACTGAGTTGGACGGCTAGACAATATCTGGCTCTTGGTGGCATTCAAGCCCGAATGGATTTTCGGACGCCGGAAGCAGCAAGAGATTCAAGCTTGGAAGTTGCGCGCCAAGTGGCAGTATCATCGCGAGCGCGTAGCCGACAGAGCCTGGCTTTGATATCCAGGCACTTCTTTTCACCAGCCAGAACCGCTTTTCAAGCCCACCGACCCTTTCCAAGCTGAGCCAGAGAGCACACTCTAAAATTCTAACTCCTCTCGGAAAAGCTGTGACTGGAATCTGACTTTTCCGCTCCGAAAATCTGGGAGCCCCGAGCTGTAGGCTGCGAAGGACGTAAGGAGGAACTCTCGGAGCTCCTCCAGATCTGGGACCTTTCTCGGAAGGCTGTGGAGAGGGCTCTATAGGCCGAGGCCCTAGGCCGAGGCCGAGGCGATCAGCAGCCGGATGATGACGATGATGCCGTAGACGCTGAAGAAGAAGATCACACAAAGCCCAGGGAGCGACCTCATTAGCCTCAGATGGAGGGATGGGGGGTGGAAAGGGCATGCGCGCGCATCGAGCTATTCGCAGGCGTCGCGTCGAGCGGGCAACAGCTTTCAAGCGGAAGGGATGGAAGAGAGAGTATGAGAGTATATGAGAGCACGAAAGTCAGAGAGTAGAGAGTAAGATAAGAAATCACGCCCTCAGGTCTGAATACTACGAGTAATCGCCGTCACAGTAATAATGATGCGAGTGTTAGTAAGAATGATTATAGGGAATACGGGAAGAATTCGGAATAGTATAATAAATTGTGTAGGGCCTGACAGCCTGGGTGCGGCACCAGGCGGAGAGGCCCACCAGAGGCAGCAGCGCCAAACAGAGCTCACCGATCCTCACATCGATGTGCTCTCTGTCCCTGGCTTCTTTAGGGTTCAGGCTGGAAGGCTGGACGGGTTAAGGGGCTTCCTCAAAGGCCTTCAAACTCAAGGTCTGTGCTGTTCAGCAGGACTCTCTTGGGACTGAGGCTGTGGCAGACTGCTCTGTGAGGGCCTTTCGGAGAGCAGCTGAGCTCAGAGTTTTGAAACGATCAGCAAAAAACGCCGACGCTGCTTTCCTTATGCCAGTGCCCTGAGTGTAGATGCGCCAGCCGGCAACCCCCCCCCCCCCCCCCCCGTCCCGTCCCCTACGTGCACATCAGCCCTTAGGCGGTAGGCTGCACGTCACTGCTCGGTTTCACCTTCTCACCAAACCGCATGCAAAAGGCCGACACAAAAGCTACGGCCAGTCATGTCACGGCTCTTCAACTCGCAACCCAGCCAAACTCACGACACGACATCCGAACAAAACATCTACCCCTAAACCTGGGCCAGGCCTAGAGCAGCAAAGAGATCCTGCGCTTCGTGGTGTCTTGCAGGCTCTCTTGCCAGTGGCTCTTGCCAGTGGCAGATCTTCACACTGCCCACTGGAGTCTACACACATGTACACACCTATATACACAATGCCGAAACGCACGTTGTGTCGCATGCTCTCTGCAGATAGCTGCCGGCTCCTCCCACCAGGGCCACTGAGTCGTTCTGCAGCTGCAACCTTCGGTGGCTTGACATGCGATCCGCGGTTGAATGCACAAGCCGCCGCCCCCGCCCCTCCCCCCGCCTGTGTCCTGAAAGCAATCAAGAGGGCCGATACAATGGGCTCTCAGATTTGGAATTCATGAAGGTATTCAGCAATTCGCAAGAGCTAATCCCGGGGTTTAGGCAAGAAATGGGCAATGGTCCAAAGCCTGAGATTATAGAACCGAATTGGAACAGATATGAAAGTGATGCGGACAGAAGTCAGAGGGGAATCTGTTTTGCTCCATGTAAAGCTTGCATCATAGAAGTTCTGGATTTCTGTAGGCATGGTCTATTCAGTATTTCGTGATGAATCTGTGCAAGCATGTTGACACCACTCGCCGACGGCAAGCGGCCTCTCAACCTTCCGAGGCGTGACACGAGTTGAAGCAGGAGGTGGGTATGGAACTTATTGCCTAGTTTTTGGCATGGACGTTGTTGGCTCCCGTGCCTTTCGCCAATGTCCATCCTCTCTCACGACCCATCACCCCCCCCCCCCCCCCAGGCCCCCCCCCCTCGCTCTCTTCCCCCTCCCCCGCGCCCCCAAGTGTCTGCAGCCACGCCGCACACCGGGAGTCCAGGAGCCGCAAACGAGCCAGGACCTTGGGCTTCAGGCAAAGCGGCAAACCCTAAACTTTAAATTTACTACAACCTAAGCCTTACAAGAGCTGTCTCAGGGAGTTTAGCTGAGACCACCGGCACTTTGATGTACAGGACGCCGCCATGGACTCGGAAATTGCGCAGGCTCAGCCTTCCCCACAGTGACCGAAGACCCTAAATGGCCGTATAAACAAACCCCTATAGGGTATAAGGTCCCATGCAAACCCTGCAAAGAACTCCACAAGTAGAGTTACTGGGATGAAGTTCTTCAAGGATTCTTCTCCAAAAAACCGGAAAGTGTTGAAGCCTGCAAGTGGGTAAGTTGCCTTGGCGGTTTGGGCAGAGAGGCTTATCTTTTGATTTTTTTGTTAACCCCATTTTTGCAGTCGAGTCGTGTTTTAAGTTTTTGGTCGTCTTTCTGACATCTTGATACATTTTGCCGTCTGCGGGGGCAGGACGTGTACAGGGATGACGTGTGCTTTCTGGGCCAGACCAGGGGCTCTGTGCTAGATGGGATCTCTGTCACAACAGGCTTACCATCTACACTTCCTCTGTCAGCGCAGCAGAGCAGGCTATGCAGCACGTGATTCAACCGAACTTTCGACACGTGCCGACCTATTGCTGAAGCTCTGCACTTGCTGAATGCTGGCGTTCGGAGCGTCGGTGCCTTTGCCGAGAGAGGCACATTGCGCAATTGGGGCTCACATGTGCAAAACGTGCGAAGGTCTGAGACATGAACCGCGCTGCCTCCCTTCTCATCACGCGCCCCAAGCAAGGGACCCAAGGACTCCCATATACCCCAAACCATCACAGCGAAAGAAGTCCCCGGTTAGGCGTCCAGCCATCCCAGCACCAAAGTTCATCACCGCCTCAGTCGCACCGTGTTGACTAAACCGAGAGGTCATATGTCGACCATCAGAGCAAATCCTATTGAAACTTGGAGACGCTGTTTGGCCGTTTGGCCCTGTGGCCCTCGCTCGGCGTCGTGGCAGCAAAGTAGAGCTTGTCCTGGTCCAAGCCCAGGGCAAGCACTTCGTCCCTCACGCCCGCAGCATCCAGTACTCAGCCCCCCCAGCGTCACAGTTTTCATCAGAATCCAACAGACAGAGTGCATGAGTCGTCTTACTTAGGATGCATGGGAAAGTCAAACGAGCATTACAAAGAACCAAAAACCTGGCCAGAGTCCCAACCTCGAACTCGGTGTAACCGCGGGCACCCGAAAGAACGCCGGGCTGAACCTCAAGATTCAAGCGCAAGGGCGCAGACAAAAATGAGCCAGCTTCAACGTTCGAACAGACACGATCTCACCTTTCTGCCAGTTCTTCGCAGGCAGACCCGAATGCGAGGGGCTGAATGGAAAGACACACGCACACGCACACGACAGAGAGCGAGACAGACAGACAAACCCCCAGAGCCCCCATCCAAAGCCAAGGGGCCACCAAAACCTAAAGCCTGTGCCCTGGTATTGCCCAACTCACAGAGACATGTAGTGCGTGCTACACAGGCAAGAACCAGCAATCACATTGCCGTAGTCCGAGCTTGGAGCTTCCCTGGTGCTGCCAAGAGGCCACTTGCGTGACAAAGCCAGGTTCGGACAAGTTGGTGGCCAGAAGTCCTGCTCACAACTTAATGCGAGTCTAAGTGTCTTGCACATCTTGCCCACATCTTCTCGGGTTCGGGAGCCTTAGCCGAAATATCCGAAATGCTAGCTGCCATCTTGACCTACTGGGCCTCGCCAGATCATCAGATACGCACACGCAAAGCAAAACATCCACTCCCACAGTCCCCTCTGGATGTGCGTATACATATATATATATGTATGTATGTAACTGCATGGAAACGTACATTATATCTACACACATATATATATATATGCATATACGTATGTGTGTGTGTGACTAAGTATGGCTCACACGCATCTTGTCATGCATCCCAGCAGCGACGACCTGCTGATCCCCTGAGTATTTTACCCAGCCTAGCCTGCGCTTGTGTCGCCTCAGATTCAGCTTGAGCAATCCTTCAACGCCGTCGGCATGGGAGTTGAAGAGCAACACGTCTTGGAAGACGTAGGAGTCTACGAAGCTATCGCTTTGGCTGACCTGCTGACTGAAGAGACGGATGGGGTCTTGCTGGTTCCTAAAGGACCGCGGCAGCAGCGGAGACTGTAGGAGATGCCCCTTTGGCCCCTGGATCTAGCTAGACGTACCTGCAATCAGTTCTCGAGTAGGGGCCCTGTAGCGCAGGCCGTGGGGAACTGGCAAAAAGGGAAACAAGGAGTGCACCGTCAACAAAAAAAAAGTGCACAGCTTCGAAAAGCTCGCAATCAGGCGCAGGCCCAGTCGAGAGCATCAGCCACCTCAGGCAGCAGCGGCACCAGCTCCGCATCCACCTGTCCAAGTAGGGCCGTGTGCGGGCGCCTGCTACGGTACCGGTAGGAAAACGCACGTTTTTTTGTTATACCCACACGGACTGGTGATATCCATAGTAGAAAGGGTAAAAACCGAACAGAAATAGGAAAACAAATATATAGATATACTTTCATCTGAATCTATGCAAACCTTCTGCATCTACGAAGAGGGAAATATGGTTATTGTCGCTGCCATTGAGGACAAGTAGCCCTAGTTGCAATAGTAGTTGTTCAAAGAATACAGCTAGCCACCCCAATTTCAAACTGAACAACTAGCCGCGATCATCATAGCTTTTTTGTTGGGACATCGGTTGTCCCAGTAGCTGTCCTTTCTTTTATTCCAATATTCCCGGCCACTCAAACATTTTCGTAATAGTTGACCTCCAATGACAGTGATCAAACTATTCGGACTAATCCGAACTATCTGCATTTTTCACTTGGGGTGGATCTCCAATTTCCCGACAGGTTAAGCAGGCACTGTATACCATTATGTAATTGAAGGCCTCGAATTATTGATGTGTTTTTGCAAGTAATTGACCTGCTGACCTCCAATCAGATAAAACAATGTGATGAAGCGATTTGAAGTTTGAACTTGGGGAAATGCAAAACCAAAACAATTCTTCTTGAAGTTCTGTTCATGAAGCCAGTGTGAAGATTTTTGTTAAGCGAGACGATGAACAAACAATTGCTACATGTGCATAGCTGGGTTTCATATACATGGTGGAAAATCACGAAACATCAAAGCCTCATCAACTCTTGACTCAACTAAATAATCATAAAAATAATTATGATAACAAAATGTTTTGCTTTTGTACCTGGCGGATTAGTTACACGTGTTGCAACAACATGAACAAATGGCCCATGGCTTTCAGACACAAGCATATTCTGCTCTTCGCATGGGACGAGGCCAGTTGTTGTGAAAAAAGCTGCTTTGTCGCATGAGGCGAGGACAGCTGTTATGGCACAACCGATGGGCCAACTGAGCGGGAAATATGACTGTCGTTGTTGTTCTAGTACAAAAGACTAGCCTGACCCTAATAACAAATATTCCATCTAGCCCTACTTACAAACGAAAAAAACCAGCCGCGATTATCATGATTGTTTTTGTTGGCGCATCGGTTGTCCAAGGAGCTGCCCTTCATTTTTCTCAACGCTACAGACTCAAATACACATAGTCACAGAGCTGATAAGGTACTAGCCACAGACCCTCTTTGCAGTTGCTAAATAATGTTGCTCGATGGCACAGCGGTGCAGGCGAGATACCTGCACAGAGATGGCAATACACCCAGCCAGTAAACCAGCCGTTTCCACCCTATGGGAAAATCCATTAAACCATCAAACCAGTCGTTCCACCTTATGGGAAAATCGATAAATCATGAAAGCATGAAATCAGTCGTTGTCAGCCATGACAAACTCGTCATGGAAAACTCGCTTTTTCCAATCTATGGCCAATTTCCTGAAACTCTTAGACCAGTCGTTTCCAGCATAAGGCCTTATCGGACAAACCAACCATTGCCGTACAGGGTAAACCATTGCTATAGAGAGAAGGGGATTGGTTTAATGGCTTAATAAGAAACTGAATTGGTTTAATGGTTTCATGGCTCAATTGGGTTTCAGAGGGGAAAAGTTGGTTTCATGGTGCATTGGGGGAGATTGATTGGTTTAATCGTTTAACGGTGTACAGTTTAATGGCTTCACACCATCAATATCATAAAAACACACGGGTGCCGCCGTAGGCGCGTACCCACTTATGTGTTGTTTACACGCTAGTCGATATTGCTTTTTTGACCACATGCAACAGTCCTTCCCCACTCAAGCTTCAGTTGCGCAAACGAGACAAAGGGGGGCCTCCGGCCACATTTGGCTGTCCTGAACAGGAGACTTACCCTCCCCAATCAATGCTCTCTCTCATGCTCTCTCATGCTCTCTCTCTCTCTCTCTCTCGTTCATTGACACATGCACTCTCTTAATTCCCTTCTTTTCTTCGCACAATCTGAATGAGTCTGATCTTCTTTCTTTCCGAAGCCCGGCCTGCGTTGCCAGGGCCTTGGGAGGGGGGGAAGCAGAGTCAGGGAGTCGCGCGATTCATTTAAGATGATTTCATGTGCAATTCCGCTTTCGGGAGCGTCATTCCAAGTCCTTGCGATAAGAAGAGGAGAGACATCTCCTTAGAATCTCCTTCTCAAGCTTTGCTGATGACTTGCTTAATTGTCAATATCACCTGAGATTCATCAAACAACGCCAATCGCGAAGCAGACTCTTACAAACAAGTGGCAGTTAGCAAGCGAAACTCTATATACTGGCAGGCAGCTCAGGCGGTCGCTCCCCTATTCCCCAAAAAGGCTAGGGCTTCGGCATGGGCGCTGAAAAGAGTTGCAAGCGTAAAGAACTGGCAGCAAATCAGGATCCACAGAAAGGTCCCAAACCTCAGCTCTTTACGTCTGTTTCACTCTAAATTCTTTGACACCGGAGACCCCAAAGTCTGGAGCTAAGTCCCCAGCTGCTTCCTGCACAGCTCAAAGCCGGGACCAGAGGCCAATTTGGTTGCAAAAGTGACATCTGCAGTCAACGCCCTGGCCTGGATTCGTCTAAGTTGGCGATCATGCCCTGCGCAGTGGGTGGGGATAGGTCTATGGGATTTCGTACTGCACATAACTGCATCATGTCACATATTTTCATCCAGAGATACGCCCGGATCCCCGCTTAAACACAATATCCACAGTATACACACATGCCATGGGCATGCTATACGCTCCGTGCTGACAGGCTGCGGCGTTCCCCCAAGGCCCCGGCAAGAGAAATAATGAGGCAGAACAGAAGAAGGACTGCACCTTGGCTTGTTGGGCCTTGCTCTGCAAGATCGCAGCACCAAACTTGCAAAGGACAACGCTCATATCCCAACAGAATCCAACACACCCGCAATGTCAAGCAACACACTGCGCAAGGGGGCGTGCCTGCAAACGACTGTGGCAAAATTTGCTACGCAGCACGGCCAGCAGCGGCGAACGGCAGGAAATGGGTGGAATCATACACGAAATACCATCACATGGGCTTTAGGCAGCTTGCTGCCAAGGGGCTCAGCTGCCAAGCCACAAGCCCAGCTGCAACCAGCAGTCCCACGACGGCCCCTCCAAAGTGTTGCTTTTTTTTTTTACTTAGGAGGGGGTCTGATCAGGATATACAAGACATCGCGCCAGGACAAGATGAACACCTGGTGTGAGGCTCCCAGCCTTGGCCGAGCACTGCTGCGGGCCATGCCCAGACGTCAAAGTCATTGACGTCCGACATCCATGACATCCAGGCCGAAGTCGGCCGAAGAGCAAATGGCGCGTGAACCCCTGTGGTGCAACGTGCTTTAAGTATGCAGGGCTGGCCACTGTCCCGTCCAGGTCAGGGCAGATGCGCCGCGGGAACCGTCATTTCCTTCTTATCTAAAATCACACATGAAGTCATTTGCATGTTTTGTACTTACTTGTATTCTAGACAGTCTCTCGCGGGTTCAAAGTGTAGAAAGACGTCTCGATACCCTTGTCACAATGTCGGAAAACAAGGCTCCTAATTACTTCTTTCCTTGAGTGAGCAGCGCCGCGGAGGTTGACACGCTGTGATGGATGATGTCGCTGTGCCGTCGCCTGGGAAAACAAAACAGACCCACGGCAGTCTGCCTCTCTTCCTCTCTTCTGCTCTCTTCCTTTGCTCCTCTCTTCCTCTTCTCTTCCAATTGTCTTCTTACGGGATTTATTGCTTATTTCGCTTGACGTGCCCCATTTCCCCCTCTTCGTGAATGGGAAAAAAACTCCCCCTCTTCGTGAATGGGAAGGCAGAGGTGCTTCATGGTGCTTCCCAGTCTTCTAGGGAGTTTAAAGCTTCTGCGGGCATGGCCATGGATCTGGGTGGGATGAATCAGGAGCAAACTGAGCAAACGGTACCGATCCTGCAAGGGAGGTCGCAGCAAGGAATCGCGAATTGCTGCTGTAGTATCAAACCACCAACACCAGAAAACACCTAATGAATGAGGTAGATGTTTCCTTACTTGTAGTATTTTTCTCCGTGCAAAGAAAGCCACCTCCCTCTGGCGACGCGAGGCTTTCTCCATTACTCTCAGCTGGGCTTTATGTTGTTCCAGGGTGATGGCCATTGATGGCCCAGGATTGAGGCCTCCTAAGGGAGCAAAGGATTTGGTGACCGATCCTGCAAGCAAAACAACATGAACCACTTAGTCACCTCTACTTGCTCAGCTTCCCTTTGCAATGTCCCTTCGTCCCTTGAACAAGAGCAGCCTTCCAGCAATTACTTTGGGGATGTCTGTGCAGATCTGCAGGAAGACATGCTTGGAGCTCAAAGCCGTGCAGCTTGAACCTCCTTGAAACCCTAAATCCCCGAATTTGCTCCCTTAACCACACTACTTCAACTCTATTTATCCTCTACTTTGCTGAAGGGGGGTCATTCGATCTCTGCAAATCGCTGCTTGTTGCAATGGAACGTTGTGAATTGTTGCACCTGGCCCGTGCCAACTTTGTGTGTTGTGCTGCTCCGACACAGCAGCTAGAGCCAAGCTTGTGCCCCTCTGGCCAAATGGCTGGCGCTCATTACTGGTTTGCGCGAGCTTGCGCTAGACGACACCACACTTGTGCGTTGCTACTCTGACCAACAGAAGCTCGCACCAACTTTGTGTGCGTTGCTGCTCCAACCATCCTAGCTCTCGCCAACTGTGTATGTGTGTATGTCTCAATCAGACTGTGTGTAGGTGTAGGTGTAGTGTATGTGTACGTGTGTGTGTATGTGTGTGTGTGTGTGTCTGTGTCTGTGTCTGTGTCTGTGTCTGTGTCTGTGTCTGTGTCTGTGTCTGTGTCTGTGTCTGTGTCTGTGTCTGTGTCTGTGTCTGTGTCTGTGTCTGTGTCTGTGTCTGTGTCGTCTGTGTCTGTGTCTGTGTCTGTGTCTGTGTCTGTGTCTGTGTCCGTGCGGTGTCCGTGCGTGTGTCCGTGCGTGTGTCCGTGCTTGTGTCCGTGCGTGGGTGTGGGTGTGGGTGTGGGTGTGGGTGTGGGTGTGGGTGTGGGTGTGGGTGTGGGTGTGGGTGTGGGTGTGGGTGTGGGTGTGGGTGTGGGTGTGTGGGGTGTGGGTGTGGTGTGTGTGGTGTGTGTGGTGTGTGTGGTGTGTGGGTGTGGGTGTGGTGTGTGTGGTGTGGTGTGGTGTGGTGTGGGGGTGTGTGGGGGGGTGGTGTGTGGGGGTGTGTGTGTGGGTGTGGGTGGGTGGGTGTGTGGGTGTGTGGGTGTGGGTGTGGGTGTGGGTGTGTGGGTGTGGGTGTGGGTGGTGGGTGTGTGGGTGTGGGGGTGTGGGTGTGGGTGTGGGTGTGGGTGTGGGTGTGGGTGTGGGTGTGGGTGTGGGGGTGTGGGTGTGTGTGGGTGTGTGTGGGTGTGTGTGGGTGTGTGTGGGTGTGTGTGGGTGTGTGTGGGTGTGTGTGGGTGTGTGTGGGTGTGTGTGGGTGTGTGTGGGTGTGTGTGGGTGTGTGGTGGTTGGGGTATGTGCGTGCCTGCGTGCGGGCTGTGCGGGTGCGGGTGCGGTGCGGGTGCGGGGTGCTGGGTGCGGGTGCGGGTGCGGGTGGCGGGGTGCTGGGTGGGTGGGGTTGAGGGTGCGGGGCGGGGGCGGGGGGGGTTGGGTGGGGGTGGGGGTGTGTGTGTGTGTGTGTGTGTGTGTGTGTGTGTGTGTGTGTGTGTGTGTGTGTGTGTGTGTGTGTGTGTGTGTGTGTGTGTGTGTGTGTGTGTGTGTGTGTGTGTGTGTGTGTGTGTGTGTGTGTGTGTGTGTGTGGGTGTGGGTGTGGGTGTGGGTGTGGGTGTGGGTGTGGGTGTGGGTGTGGGTGTGGGTGTGGGTGTGGGGGTGGGGGTGTGGGTGTGTGGGTGTGTGGGTGTGTGGGTGTGTGGGTGTGTGGGTGTGTGGGTGTGTGGGTGTGTGGGTGTGTGGGTGTGTGGGTGTGTGTGTGTGTGTGTTGCCACTCGGACCAAAAAGCTCACGCCGCTACGACGTAACGATGAACGAATAGCTGCAGGCAGCTTGGTGTGCGGCTACTCTGACAACCTCTGACACAAGTAGATCGCACCATGTCGCGCGAACTGAAACCTCGCGACAACTTTGTGTGCTGCCCCCCTGACCAGCTCGCGCCAACCTATGTGCTGCTCTGACCAAAACCTTGCCACCTACCGCTTGCTTGAAGAGTTCACCTCGACCGAAGTTCTGACGAGGCGCAAGAAACAGAAGGCATGCAAAACAGGTGATTCATCACATCTCTCATGCTCAGGGTCCGCATGACTTGCTTGTGTCTGCGGGCTTTCGGCTCACAGATCGAGACAGGCGCAGATTAACACAAAGTCTGCATCACCTTTTCCACATCTTGATGGGTTTGGTTGGCTGGAAAATGAGCGCTGTTAGCGCTGTTGGAGTAAGGCAAAGGTAGCACAGAGCCATGCGGGTCCTAGTGACAAGTGGGGCCTGACACAAATCTCCGACTTCAGCCAAGAGAACCCCACGTCGAGGCTCCACAAGCCTCCGATCTGAAAGTATCCGGAGAGTGGATAGTGACCGGATAGTGGATAGCAGCGAATAGCACTTCTGCCAACATTTTGCAGACCGGAACTTGCCGAATGGCGCTGGCTCGGGACGAGCATCCTCCTTTGGGATCCAGCATCGAAAATCAGCCTACCCCACACTGAACACATTCCAAACCTGCCACAAAACCAAAACCAAACAACTTGCCTGTCTGTCTGTCTGTCTGTGGGTTTGGGGACCCTTCCGCGCTTTCCCGTGAATGTACCACCGGCTAGGCACTCAGATCAAGTGGCCATGGACGCCACGCGCCAGGAAGTGCCTTGACGGACTTTCTTGGGGACTTGCGGCTCTCGTGGGGAGTGGTTCAAAGGTTGTAAGAGATACGTGGCGAGAAGACAGCTGCAATGCATCATGCCATGGATCATGACGACCTGTGTATCTCAATAGGCTTCAAGGAAGCTCCGGACGCTCCCTCGAAAAAAAGGCTTCAGAGTATACCCCGAGACAGTAGCTTGATGTAGCACGCAAAAAACAGTCAAAAATCAGCAAAGCGCCCAATAGCGCTGCCCTGGCAAGTCGGCCTTTGCCCCCGTCTTCAAGGATCACTCCAAGGCCTTGAGAGGTGGCAGCCAATGGGTTTGAGAGTTTTGAGTGTTCTGAGGGCACTCACTTTACAAAGCTCTCCTACAAAACGACTTCTCTGACTTCCCTTTTGAATCCAACAAAAAGCCGGATATGGGGAAAGCAGACTTGTCCTGCCCAGCAGGCGTCTACCTCTTCTAGTTCGGGGCCCTTCAATTCCCGAGCCTTTCCTGACGTTGTCCGTAAGGGTGTGCCTGTCCCTGAGAGCTTACAGAATTCGGCCTGTCGATCATATCCTCGATACACAGCAGTGCTGAGACAAAGTTTCGTGTTCACTTCGCTCCCTCGGGATATCCTGCTTGAAAACATTTCTTGGGGCTCCACTCCCCGAAATATTCTGGAATGACGGCGGTTATTCAGTTCATCAAGGATGGTGTATGGTACTTGCCGAACGTTGATGACAACAGCAGGATGTCTTGGATAGAGCTGGTATGTGAGTTTTTCGTTAATCATGGCTTTTGTGGTGAATTCTTGACTCCTGGAATGCCCATGTCCCGCCTCACTAGGAGAATGAAAACTTATATGTGCAAGCCATGCAGGCCTGCGGCGTGGCCTTGGCCTGCGTCCCTAAAACCAATATCCACAGAGAGTTCTTGGGCAGAGATGTTGCTGGCATTGCAGGGCGGAAGAAGGTCTCCTACCCTAATGTGTTGTGGGCCCTCTTCCTTAGTGATCAGACCAGATTCGTCATATTCGTCCTTAACGGTTCGAAGCAGGCTAATGCCCATTGGATCCCAAACTTTCACGCCCTACTCCAGTAATTCCGTTTACGGCAGCTTGGTTGCATTGTACACAGCTTAATTGGATGGAACTCTGATGCTCGTGCGGCGGAGGAATGAGTGTCTGTAAAAGACAAAGAACATAATATAATTGGACCTGAGGAAGACTGGGTGCTGAATGGGCTGCGGAGAGTTGCGTTGAAAAGAGGCTTAAGTGATGGAAGCACCCTTACCCTTCGACTGCTTCTTGCAGTGCCCTGCTGGAAAAGGAACGAAAAGCAAACGACAACAAACACCGACTTCGGCGATGCTGTGCTGGTGCCCGGCTGCAGCTCGGTACGTCGGTCAGTTACAGCATCTTCAAAACCCGTGAGCTCCCCGTGAGCAGCAGCTCGGAGCAGGGCCCGTCAGCTCATCGCGCAGCGCGTCCGCTCTGGCAAAGTCCTGCAGTTCGAGGAAGTGGCACGTCGCAGTTTTCTCAATGCCATTTCGGCCCGAAATCCAAGGCTCCGTCTTTTTCAATGAGCCCCAAAAGGACCAATGATTCAGACTGGCCGACAACACACCCCAGCAAGCACCTCTAGGATTTAAAAAGAGCAACGAGGTCGGACCTGCAGTTCACAATGCGACACTACGCTCTTCTACATTGCGTTGTGCTGTAAATATGCCTTTTATTGCGTATCTTCCAGACGTTAATTCACTTTACAGTTCCAACCTGATGGTGTACTACAACATATGGAACATACCCACCGCAGGTTGGCTCGGCAGTTTGGTCAAGTGCAGGGTTTAGCCCAAGTTGCGACTCAACTTGGAAAGTCCCATTGGGAAGAAAATAGCCCCATAGGGTATACTGCTGAAAACGAATACATAGATTGTATGTATACCTGAGAAGCCGGAACGACGGATTTTGTCTGTCGTGTTATTGCTTTCTGGCTTTCTTTGTGGCTTGATTTCTGCGGTAGTGGATTTTCGTTGATTTTTCTGGTCTTTACTACTTTGTGGATTCCCAAGCTTGACAGAGCACAGATTCTGTCAAATGTGATGATGGGCCCGGCATCCAAGACCTTGCAAAACAACTGTCCGACACCTGCGCAACTACAGCTTCCGATGTGCAGCCTGCACAAGAAAGAAAGGAGGAGCATCGCAGAAACCCGAAAGACCCCCCAAAGCCCTCGAGCCCAACTCGCCCCCCCCCCCCTCTCCCCAAAAGAGCCCTGAACCCCATTGAAGCCCCAAACCCTTTTCCGAATCATTGGAAATGTTCGCACGGGCCTTGGCTTGCCGGGCCGCAGCTCTCTCCTGCCAGGCAGGCCCTTCAGATCCCTTTGGGACTTGGAACTTCGAGTTTGGGCTGTTGCCAAAGTTGACTACGATTCAACTGTGGCCTGGGTCTTCTTTCATCCAGCGTCTCCTACTAGCAGCGCAGTTGCACTAAGGAGGAAACATTCTTACTACCGTATTGGAACATGAGCTTCTGCAACCGTTCGGCCCAAGAAGCCTGTCCGTTGGTCTATTGATCGTGAATATGGTTATATACTACATAAAACGCATATATATATATATATATGGACACCCACCCGCCACCTCATGACCTACCGTTCTCTGTTGTCCTTGTAAATGCCTTTTAAAGCCCACTGGCTCCGTGTACCGAATTTATGTACTCTAAGTAGGTCTATCTCGAAGAACAGACTCAACATCGACCACATGATTCGATGCCGAGATCGGCAAGACCAAAAACACAATTCAGAGCGATGAATCTGGAAAAAGGTGTTTTATTGGTTTTCCTTCGCAAAGAGACTGCTTTCTTACCAAGACCAACTGCTTCCTCGTAAAAAGTTGGTTTTCTGACCAAAACCAACGTTTTACAAGGGAAAAGGTTGTATTTCCGAGGAAACCAACTTCTTACAAGGTAAAAGTTGCTTTTGCTGACCAAAACCAACCTTTACTAGGGACCAAACACCAACAACAACAACTTTTTCAGAGCAATGAAGCGAATCTGGGACAAGTTTGCATGACTTGTTTTCACTCGAAAAAAATTGGTTTTCTTACCAGAAACAACTTTTACCCGCTCAAAAAGATGGCTTTTTCTGACCAAAACCAACTCTTTGACAGGGAAAAGTTGGTATTTCTGAGAAAAACCACCTTTTTGCGAGGTAAAAGTTGATTTTTCTGACGAAAACTAACCAACCTTCTTACTAGGGATAAGTTGGTATTATTTCTGAGGAAAAACCCACTTTTCACGAGCTTTTCTGACCAAAACCAACGCTTTTCTACGGAAGAAGTTGGTATTTCTGAGGAAACCAACTCTTGACGAGGTAATAGTTCGTTTTTCTGCGAAAACCATATGTTACAAGAGAAACCACAAAAAAAACCAACTTTTTGCGGATTCGCCTCATTGCTCTGAGACATTTTTTGCTTTTCCCGCGTAGCAGTTGAAAAGCAACTTTTACTTGTAAAAAGTTGGTTTTCCTCAGAAAGACAAACATTTTCCCAGTAAAAAATTGGGTTTTGGTAAGAAAACTTTCTTGTTGCGCAGGAAAGTTGTTTTTGAGGCCGATTGATTTCAATAATAGCATCCCTATTCCTATTAATTTTAAAGGGTTCCTAATCATTTGAATAGGATTCCTATTCCATTCAATAGGATTCCTATTGAACTGAAAAATGTTCTTCTGAATTTGAATCGGAGTCTGATTAGCATTCATAGGATTCGTCTGGATTTCAACAAGGTTCTCATCCATTTTAAAAGTGATTCTTACTTCCAATAGGGTTCCTATTAAATTTAAGAGGGCTCCTACTGCTTTTTTAGGATTCCTATTGGTCCTATTCATTGTAATAATGCTCCAAGATATTTTACAGGTATTCCGAGCATTCTTAATAGCATTCTTATTCCTATTTATTTAATTCGGAATCACATTTCTAAAAAGAAGCCTAGTAAGTTTTCAAAGGTTCACATTGACTGTTATAGGATTCCTACTGATTACTTTAAAATTTAGTAGGATTCCTCTTCGCGTTAAAAGGATTCCTATCTATTTCAATAGGGCTCTTATGAATTTGAAGAAGTAACCCTGTTGATTTTAATCCATTCCTACTCATTTAAGTACGGCTAGGAGAAATTGTAATAGGATTCCTATTAATTTTACTAGCATTTGCATGAATTTAGTTAGGGTTCCTATTCGTTTGCATTGGCTTCCTATTAGTTTTTGTATGGTTCCTATATGTTTTTAAAGACATCTTGGTAGTCTTCCTATGAATGTTAATAGAGGATTCCTAAGGTTCCTGTTGCATTCATTAAGATTCCTGTCAATTCAATAAGGTTCCCATTCATTTTAATCGGATCCTTATTAAGTTTGATAGGGTTCGTATTCAAATTTCATAGGGTTCTCATTCGTTTTAGAGGGGTTCCCATTAATTGTAATGGGCTTCCTATTAAATTCATACGAATCCGATGAATCCTACTAGATTCAATAGGAACCCTATGAAAATCAATAGGAATCCTGTGAAATAAAGGCAATCCACAATCTCGAGCAAATTGTTCAGGTCACTTCTGTTGGAGCAATCGCTCGAGCAATTGCTGAGTGGACCATTGCTAGAGCGTGAAATTATTTGAAATAAACCAATTAAATGAGTTAACAAAATTGAATCGATCAAATTAAGCTCATGAAATTCATGAAACTAAGTAACTTAAATAGCTGAATTCAGCAAATTAAACAAAGTAATTACCGTGAGGCTAGCACAGAATAGGGGATTTCTTCACCTCCCGGTAGGTCAGGGGGGTGGGGGTGAGCATCATATATATATATACATATATATATATATACATACAGACATGTATATATATATATATATATATGATACTTCTTTACTGGCTCTTCAAGCGACTACCTCCTGAACTCACGGTGTAAGATGATACAAAGAATTATCTAGGCTGCAAAGCACGACGACAACGCAAAGAACTCCGCAGACGACTTGGACGATGAAGACAAAAGAGTACAGTCCAACACAAGCAGGTCACAGCAGATCTTGAAGCCCATACTGTCTAGAAACCAGGTTTCCTTGAAGTCCAAACTCCCCATACAGACGCTGAAAAAAGCCCACTATAAACACAGAAGAAGCAGACCACGCAAGCTGCAAATCCCGTTCGGGGGTCAGCTTGCGGGGTGCCCTGAACCATCCCTTAGTGCCTTAAGGGGCTTGTCAGTTTAGATGCTTAGTTCGTCTTCTAAATGTCCTAAGTGGTCATTCGCTTAAATCTTCAACTCGAAGCCCGAAAAAACCAAGGACACCTGGATGAGCTGCTCCACTTTGGCCTGAAGTTGCTTTCCAGGGCACCATATTAAGCCATATTATGTACATATATATATATATATACCGTTTAGTATTACATATACATATACAATATCGGCATTATGATCACTCTTTGTCTGGCTTGGACATGGCAAGAAACTTCCAGTAACAAAACAAAATTATGATGGCTAGGGCCGATGGCCGGTGCCACGAGCTGCGGGAAAGCGTCACCCTCACTGCAGCAGAAAGCCTCATGCCTCGAAGTCCTTGTCCACCGGCCCTTTGCAGACAACTTCTGGATCACGCCTCGGGGGCACTGGCTCTGGAGCAGTCGTCTGTTGAAGGCCTTGCGGGATTCACGGGCCTTTTGGCTTCGGAAGAGTGGGGCTGACAAGGGGATGCACTGGTTGTGCGATCAATTGCGCGTCTCAAGCCTGCTGAAGGAGTTGGGTGCTGAAATGTGCTGAATCATGCTGAATCCTCAATTCATCGGTGCCCCAAGGCCAGCACTGGAGAAGGCCGAGCACTCCACCCATGGTGTACAGATGCCTTGTCGTGCTTACTTGCCGTGGTAGCTTCAGTGGCCCCAGGGCCTTATGACTGCGTTGTGGGGGTTTAGGGTTTTGGGCCATCCAAGCAACTGCATGCAGATGTGGGTGTTGGGTCTTTCTCTCGACTTTGTAAAGCCAAACCAACTCGATGGCATCACATTCGGAGACAGTGCCTTGCTTTCTGCTCGAAGCTGCTCTGCGCCGCTTCGTCACCTCCTGGCCAACCCAGGTGCTACTCGAAACTCGGTGCGCCTCAGGCTGGATTATATTAAGCCGCGCCGAGGGCTAAGGAATTGCACAAAAGGTGATTCAGTGTGCAGGTGCAAAGGGCCCTACTCTACCTTAGGCCGACCTTCGCAGGCTTGCTGCAGCTGCAGCAACTCCCGGGACAGCTCTGACATGGCCTTGCGTCGTTTGTCTTGGGCCGTACTGTAGCCACTCGCGATGTCGAGCTCAGCTGAGTTGCCAGGCGGGTAAGTCACTTTACCATGTCGATTGCAGACAGGTCGGAAGCTTGCCAGGGCCCTCGCCGCCACTGCATTGACTGTGTCGAAGTCCTCGCGGCTCGCAATTGAAAGAAGCGATCCTTCAACCAACGCAACGCTGAGTATGCTGATGCTGAAGCAGATTGGAGAGTTGGAAATCTGGGCATTGTGCTTTCTGCGGCGACAGGAGTCTCTGTCACACAGAACTGCGCACTCTGGGACAGTCATTGGTCTCTGCCCAAGACCTCAAGTTACCCTATAAGGGACCCTGCGTGCAACCAAGTTGCATTGGCCATGGCGGCCAGGAATCGGCTATGATGCCTCATCTGCGTCATTCTCTCATCTGGAGGCTTCCGGGAGAAAGGAAAACGCATGGATGGGTCATGGGCGATCCGCAGTCGGAGAGTAAAAGACCCCCTCGGTTTTGCAGTTGTTTTTTCCCATCATTCCGGCGTAAACCCATATGAATGCCAAGACCACTTCCAGACCATTCCAAGATGATCCCACAGCACTCCGAGACTCTAAAGTACTCTACAGTGCAAATAAACAGCATGCCAAAACCCACTTCTCAATGAAGAGCACTCCAGAGACTCTAGGGCCCCCCAAAAATCGATGACACGCTCTTGCACCTCACGAGGAGCATGCACACGAGACCGACGCGAAGAACCCGAGAAATGCAGCAAAATGCATCCCTGCAAACATTTCGCGACGCGGAGGCATGCTTTTTGCGATGACTGGGAATGATTGGGACACTTCTTGACGCTTGCGAGCCTTGACAGGTGCGTGGCACCTTGGCGAGGGCATCACGGCAGGCGGAAACAGAGAGGTTGCGTCGATTTCGAGGCCCCGTGTTCGTTCGTGTTTCGCGGGACAGCGATCTAACCCCCCAACAACCGCAGAGTGCAAAGCACTGTTTGTGCGATATAGAGAGGGGACGGAGGGAGGTGGGAGGGGCAGAGAGAGAAGAGAACAGCCAGCTTTTGGGTTGACTCCCATATACTCTCAAAGACTTCTCACGAACTTCTCACGGAATCTGGACTGCTGGCAGTTCATCTATGTATGGTTAGTTTGAGTAGAGCTGAGTACTGAAATCGCGATTTCCGTGGGTCGGCTAGATTTTGATTGATTTATAGGTGTTTCCGACCGGCTGTGATTTGTAGGACAGGCTCAGCACTGGAACCGTTGATTCCCTTTAAGCCGGCTGGATTTTCATTGGCTTGTGCACAAGGCTTAGTACTGGAACCTACGTTTCCGTGAGCCGACTGGATCCTTCACTCATTCGCAATACTGTAGTCGAGTTTTCCATGAACCGGCTGCATTTTCATTGCTTTGTAGTGAAGTTCAGCAACGGAAAAATACGTTTCCGTGAGCCGGCTTCATGTGGTGCGAGCTCCTTCCCACTGGAACCGATGTGCTACGGGCTGGATGTCCATGGATTTGTAGTACAAGCTCAGTACTGGAATCGAAGATTCCCCAAGCCGGCTGGGTTGTCATTGGTTTGTAGTACAAGTTGGTGGTGGGATGTGGTGGGACAGACGTTTCCGGGACCGGTTGGGTTTCGTTGATTTGTGGTACGACAAAGACGAGTATTGGAATCGACGTTTCTGTGCGCCGACTGGATGCTTTTGAAATTTATTTTTCAGTACAGGTTGAAAACAGAAATCGGTGTTTCCGTGTGCCGGCTGTAGTACAAGCTGAGTATTCTTGGAATCGACGTTTCTGTGTGCCTGGCATTATTGCTGTCGTTGTTTGCTCTTATCGTTTTCTCGAGTAAACTTTCCATGAGCGCATTTAGGGGCGCTTCTCTTTACTTTCCGATCTGGGCCCCCATGTTGTCCGATACCAAGGGGAGCTGTCAAATGTCCGCGAAGAAGAGAGCTGGGCTGGGCTGGGCTTGAAGTGCGCAGACGCAATGCCTGGTCAACACGATGTAGTGACTTCGCGGAAGCGGGTGCAAGCCTGTTGGAGTGGCAGCGGACAGGTCCACTTTCCCAGAAAATGAGGTAAACAGCCCTTGAGGCAAAATGTGACCATTGCACAATGTGGTGCTTGGCTTGTGCCACCACACAGCCACAAGCCCTCACTCCTCGTTCGCAGTACTCGAAAACGGACCCTTGCACATTGGACTCTGAACGCAACCCAGCTCCCCCGCAGCCCCCTGTGTGTCCGGCTCGCAGCCCTCCGGAGGCACTGTTTCGCACGGAGGGGACCTTGCCAACAGTTTGTAGTCACAATGTACCAGTGACCTGATGCCCACTCTATAAACCACATAGCAAGAAGATCAGTCCACTAGCTCCCAAACTCGGACTGGCTGCCTAGCCTCCCCCTCATGCTCTCGCCAGGCCTGTGTGATGACAGGTCCAGGTGACATTCTCAGGCAGTATGTAATAATACAGGGTCCACTACGTAGTTTTGTGATCACAAGGTCTTAGCATAGAAAGAAACTGAGGATTTGTTTTCTGAGAAGGGTTTGGAGGGCAGGAAAGGAGCCCCGATGATGCTCATGATGCTCGCCTCCCGCCTTGTCAACTGCGCCCAACCACTTGGGGGAGTTGGGGCAGCAAGCGTCTGGAGCATTAGGGTTCGGAGGGCAGGAAAGGAGCCCCGATGATGCTCATGATGCTCGCCTCCCGCCTCGTCAAATGCGCCCAACCACTTGGCGGAGTTGGCGCAGCAAGCGTCTGGAGCATTAGAGTTTGGAGGGCAGGAAAGGAGCCCCGATGATGCTCATGATGCTCGCCTCCCGCCTTGTCAAATGCGCCCAACCACTTGTGGGAGTTGGCGCAGCAAGCGTCTGTAGCATTAGGGTTTGGAGGGCGAAAGGAGCCCCGATGATGCTCATGATGCTCGCCTCCCGCCTCGTCAACTGCGCCCAACCACTTGGGGGAGTTGGGCGCAGCAAGCGTCTGGAGCATTAGGGTTTGGAGTGCAGGAAAGGAGCCCCGATGATGCTCATGATGCTCGCCTCCTGCCTTGTGAAATGCGCCCAACCACTTGGGGGAGTTGGGCGCAGCAAGCGTCTGGAGCATTAGGGTTTGGAGGGCAGGAAAAGAGCCCCGATGATGCTCATGATGCTCGCCTCCCGCCTCGTCAAATGCGCCCAACCACTTGGGGGAGTTGGCGCAGCAAGCGTCTGGATCAATAGGGTTGGGAGGGCAGGAAAGGAGCCCCGATGATGCTCATGATGCTCGCCCCCCGCCTCGTCAAATGCGCCCAACCACTTGGGGGAGTTGGCGCAGCAAGCGTCTGGAGCATTAGGGTTTGGAGGGCAGGAAAGGAGCCCCGATGATGCTCATGATGCTCGACTTCCGCCTCGTCAAATGCGCCCAACCACTTGGGGGAGTTGGCGCAGCAAGCGTCTGGAGCATTAGGGTTTGGAGGGCAGGAAAGGAGCCCCGATGATGCTCATGATGCTCGCCTCCTGCCTCGTCAGATGCGCCCAACCACTTGGGGGAGTTGGCGCAGCAAGCGTTTGGAGCATTAGGGAGCCCCGATGATGCTCATGATGCTCGCCTCCCGCCTCGTCAAATGGCCTGGCGCAGCAAGCGTCTGGAGCACTAGGGTTTGGAGGGCAGGAAAGGAGCCCCGATGATGCTCATGATGCTCGCCCCCCGCCTCGTCAAATGCGCCCAACCACTTGGGGGAGTTGGCGCAGCAAGCGTCTGGAGCGTTAGGGTTTGGAGGGCAGGAAAGGAGCCCCGATGAGCTCATGATGCTCGCCTCCCGCCTCGTCAAATGTGTCCAACCACTTGGGGGAGTTGGGCGCAGCAAGCGTCTGGAGCATTAGGATCTGGAGGTCAGAAAAGGAGCCCTGTTGATGCTCATGATGCTCGCCTCCCGCCTCGTCAAATGCGCGCTCAAAATACTTTCTTTGTTTCCAATCTGGTAGTGCGCAAGACAGCCTGGCATCCTCACGACTTCTGCACGCTCCGTCGTACTAGTTCTTGATTGGGAATTGGGTACCTTGGATCCTCCCTACATTTTTCAGACTTTAAGAGATTATGTGGGGGTAAATGACCATACCTGGGAGCCGGACAACCCCCGAAGCGACGAATAAAGCTTGAGCAGCCGCTCTTCCGCCTTACGAGATCACAGCAGGCTCGGATGCCTTAAACAGCCTCTCAACCCCATGCAACACTTCTTTCTCTGACCATGAGCTTCCGAGAAAGGGGCCGAGGCCACACCGCCGCAAAAAAAATGCATAATCAGTGGCATACTGCGCGTGTACTTCACTGTACTTCACGAGTGTGGAGGTTTGAATTGAAAGGGTGCGTATTGCAGTTGCCATGGCAGTGAAAGACCAAGTCCGTGCATGGTGCAGCATGAGCTCAACTTTTGCTCTGAGCACTGTGGCATGAATCATTCGGTTGCCCAATCGCAGCTCAGCGTGCAGTACGCTCTGCATTACTGGGCCTTGAATGGACCGTGGAGAAGCCACGACTTCTGCGTGACTATTGGACGTTCGGCTGTCCAAAAATGAAAGAAGGAAACTCCATACTGTAAAGTCTTCAGAACCTAGTGGGAGCTAAAGGCCAGCCGGCTTTTGGGGCGAACCAACAGGTAACAGAAGCCATGCCGGGGTGCGAGCTTGAAAGAAACCCTTCAGCTGTTGTGCCCTGGCTGCTCCCCGCCAGTCCGACAGAAGTACGCTTTTTTAGGCAGAACAAAGGGTGACGGTTGGCGAAAAGACAGCAGCCACAGGCCCAGGCCGACACTTCACTCGCAACATCTCGCAACCATGGAACCAGTTCAAAAAGATCGAGAGGATTCTCGGCGAGCCCTTGCGGGCTTTGTGCGTGTGCGGATCTGAACACGATAGGCGCTCAATGCCCTCCACACACTTGCAGCTTCTTCATAAGATCCAGATGGCGGAACAAGCAGGAGCACTCGTCTGGAGTAGCACTGCAGATGGCTCTTCTCATAGCTACCGACAGCGCAAATGACATACTTTAAGAGTCTAAGTGTTGTCATCGGCCCTCGGACGAGAATCGTCTGGAACACCTCTCAACCCTTGCTCCAGAAACAATAGCCGAGACATCCCCCTTATTAGTAAGAGTCCCCCCTGTTTCCCGTAAGGCTTGCGTTGAGAGCGCTAGTATTTGCAGGCCAAGGCTTGGGCATCCAAGATAGGTAGCTTCCAGGACTCCACTTACGCGCGCACGACAAGATGCAATGGGGAACCTCAAGCATAGTCAATTGAAAACGCTTGCGCACGCCGCCGGCAGCCGCGCCATATGTCGCTTGGCGCAACGCCACATACGTCATGAGTTCAGGAGGTAGGAAGGCTTCAGGTATTTTGGCGCGCCCTCTGTCACAGGCTGAACCCACCTCGGCATCGAACTTCGGCTCTTCCAAGCGGTTCGGGCACATCGCACTGGGAGACAGAGGGGGGGGGGGAACGTGCTGTGCGGTGGGGCAGCCGAGGGGTTAACATCGCTTCTCTTAAGCTGCTGGACTGGGAAGGCGTGTCCCCCTCTTCCGGGACTATGCAGCGCACAGGTGGTCTTGATTGCTTTGCTGAAGCGGATGCATCATTGGCTGCACGTGCAAAGGCAAGGCGCTTGCTTTCTTTGGGCTACGGCTGCTTGGCCCGTTTTCTGTGTTTCGCTTCGGAATGGGCTTCAAACTGACCATCCTTTTTTGCCAGCGGCGCTGCAATCACGTGCGACGCAGATCCCGAGCTTCCCAAGCTAAAATAAAAGCCTGAAAACCATAAGGTTTAAATCCAGTCGGCCTGATCTGGCCAAAGCCTCTCCAGACGAGCAGTCCCAGCGATTGTCCGGTTCAGGGTCTTTAGGGCTTCAGCGTTGGACGTTTTTGAAAAGGCGCACGGCTTCAGCTTCCGCGTTGTGAGGCCGTAAACTGGCTTTAGGGCTCTGAAGTGTCTTAGACTTTTTGTCTATTGAAAAGAGGTAATTGAGTGTAGGAAGATCTCATTCAGGGGTTCCTCTTAGTCTGTTCAGGGATCAGGGTGGTTCCCAGGGTTCCGTTTGAGTGTGGGAAGATCGGTTCAGAGTTCTTATGGAAGGCTCTTCTCATGGAGGCCTAAAGGGCCTAATCACATGAACAACAAAGGTACTTCAAGCCACTTCCTGCTTGCAGCCTCTGATCCTGAACAATTGCCATACTTCCACTTCGCCCTGCTAATAATCTAGGGTGGCATCAGACATCAGGCAAAGCATGGTCAAAATCATGGTAAGAGTAGCATCGGACAATAAGAGCTTATGCCAAATAAGACGGTGGCCTCTTTGGGGGAAGCTGGCGCCATCAAGAGAGCCGAGGGGCACAAAAGACAGCTCAGACTTCAAAATCCCTAGTTGGACTCAGCTGCTTTCCGCACGCCTTGCTTCCACATGCCGGCTGAGTGGCTTAGGCGAATTAAACACGCATGTCAAGATATGCCAAGTGTCTACTACGTGGGTTTCTGGACACCAGCGAACCGGCGATGCTCGGAGATCTTCCTTACTGAAAGAGGCAAAAGAGAAGAAACCAAAGAACCTAGGACCCAGAAAAAGGGCCCAGCTCGAGGTACACGGAGATAGAGGGCAAGAGGGATGAGGCTCTCTCCGACTCGACGAGTATGTGTCCAGCAGCTCAGACATCCTGCCCACTTTGTGTGCCCTGGCTTAGATCCCGTGGGAGGCAAAGCGTCGGCAGCAGCTCCTTGCGAAGCCTTCGCTGTGCAACTTCTATGCAGCTGCTATTCAACTGCCATGCAACTGCTGCAAAAGGATCATAAACCAAAGGGAATGGAACGCTGCGCGTGAGGTGCTCACATGCAGGGGTCGAGATTTAATCACTTCGACGGAGTCCCAGTTGAACTCATCAGGATTTTGGATGATTAGGATACAGGCCCGCGAAAAGTTAAGGCGTTTTGAGAGAACGTGGTCCTTCCAAGCCCTTCCTCCTTTTCGCCCTCCACTGGTCTCACCGGTCACCCGGAGTTGGTCAACCTTCCAACCCCTGTAACCAAATTCCGGCTGCAGAGCTTAGGGGACTCAATCCCAACATCATCATCACATCTCCCCCCGAACTAGAATCAACGGCGCGTGCCCGCTAGAATGCTGCAGAGAAGGCAGAAGGACATTGGTGCCTCGAAAACCCCAGAACCTCAGTCCTTCCTACCTTATACCGAATCCCAAACCTCACCTATCCCTTGTCTTGCGTAATTGGGTCCTTGGTCTCGTTTTTTTGTTGGCAGCTTTGTGTGACAGGTGCTGCACGCAAGCGCTTCAATAGGCAGGGCTGGGGTGAATGTCTGCTGTTTGCAATGTTTATTTAAAGGTTGCGGGTTGACAGTTTATAGGGTTGCCGTGTGCAGTTTACTGTGGTGCTGCAACAGAAAAAGCCACGGATGTGCCACGGCCGGATGCTCCGGGGGTGGGGGCTTCCGGCAACTAGTTCACAATTGGCTATAGCCACCTGATGAGGCCCATCCCAAGCTCGAAAAAGAACTAGCTTCATTAGAACCATGTATATACGCATTGTTCCATATTTATGTGCATCTACACCTCTGTTGATTCTACCGCTAGTTATGCCGGAGAGTTTTGTGTTGCCGAGCAGGGGCTTGCAACTGCAGTGCTCGAAGCCGGGCTGTCCGTACGCGCACTTTTCTGTACGTCACAGAAAAAGCTCACCTCCCCCGCGGGGTCGCCCGCCAAGGCTTCTTGGGCATGGCTGGCGCGCAAGGGCTTCTCTGGCCCAGCCTCCCCCGCCGGGTCCGCGCCAAGTCTTTTTTGGATCTGCTATGATCTGCTTGGGTCGTGCGCAAGGCCTTCCCCCGCCGGGGTCGCGCGCAAGGGCTTCTCTAGAGGCCACGCCTGCCCCGCCGGGGTCGGGCGCAAGGGGTTTTTGGGCTGGGTCTCTCTGGGTCGACCTCCCGGCCATGTTCGTGGGCTTCTCCCCCGCTGGGCTCGCTACCAAGGTCCCGCCAGAACTTCTTTGACAGGACGGTTTGTTTTTTTTTCCGCCGGGGTCGCGCTTCTCTGGCCCAGCCTGGGGTCGCGCGACAGGCTTCTCCGCAGGGACCTTCCCCTGCTGGGGTCGCGCGCTAGGGCTTCTGGCCCCCCGCATTTTTCAGGGCCAAGCTGAATCTCAAGAGTGACATGGATGACCAGCTTATGCAGAGCATCAGTGGTGAAAGAAGTGCGAGAAGCCTTGCTACCACCATGAGGAGAGCAAAGGTCCATGGCATCTCTCTGAACAAGAGCACTCCCCCCCCCCCCCCCCCCGCCACCCACTCCAAAGGACAGAAGAGCGCCATACAGAACCGATCAACAAAAGCCGGGGGGGTCCCAGCAGCAAACGAGCCGAGACGCTCAGTACTGTCCATACCGTATCCATACCCCCTCCACATCCCTCGACTGCCTTCAGAGCCTGGCCTTGGGCGTCAGCTCAGATCTGAGCGCATTCACAGCAACCAAAATTGACCAACAACAATGTGGGAACATGATGGTCCATCAGCATGGATGTATGATCGACCCCTGCAGTGTGTATGTGAAAACTTTCGGGGCTCACCTTTTGGCCTGTTGAACTGCTGGATCTGCTGCCCCCGTTCTTGGGGAAGACGGGGTGCTGATTCAGTGCTGATTCAAGTGAAACTGGGCCAAGCGGGTGCGGTGAGTATTTCGAACGAATGCTGGTCGTCAGATCCGCGGTCCGCGCTGGAACTGGTGCCCAGCGGAGTCCTCGCTTGGGACGATGCCTCTTTCACCCTCTCCCAAACCCACCTGAGGTCACCTGTTCTTGGCCCCACTGAGGCCGAAAAGCGGAGTGGGAGCGGGGAAAGTGTGCTTGGGTCTGTGGGCAGAACACAACCGGACGTCGGGTTCAGGGGGCCACTTGGGGGTTTGGGCTTTCAGTGCTTTCAGTGCAAGACCTTGGGCTTGGGCGTCTGGGCATTAAAAATTGTGCGCAAACTACTTTCACCTCCCATGTCTCGGACAGAGCTCCGGCTGCTCTCTTGCTCTCTCAGCCACGAGGTGAGTACGAGGTGCCAAGGTCCCCAGATCTGCTTGTGGTTGGTGCTCGAAGATTTCGAAGGTTGCGACTTTTGGGCTCTAACACATGGGAAAGGCTTCGCTGAGGAACATAGCGGACTCTCCTTCAATAGAATTTGGGTACTTTGCGTACTCCAAGCGGATCATTTTTGTACTTAGGCTCCAGTATCGGACTTTTTGGAGCTTCAGGGTGCAGGGCCTCAGAAATACAGACCATCTGCAATGAGGAATCCTTACCATTCTCTGGTATCATGCACCTGCTGCCAGTTCTCGGTCAAGGAGTGCCCTCCACATAAATACGGTCCTTGCATTATGGGTACTCACGTGCACAGGGACCCGATTCAAAACTACTGACCACTAGGTCACTAGGTACTATGATGTACGCGATGCACGTGGCGGACTTCAGGCCTCTTGCCGCACCCAGGGCTGAATTTGGGGAGAGTGCATGGGCACGCATGTTGCGCCTTTGGTGCTCTATAATCAGATTCCCTCGAGCTTCAGAAAGAAACGCCCTAAATATTACATAAACCCATTAAACTTGCCGTGGACTTCAGGAACCTGGAGATAACTGTATTTGCCGTCACGGCTACTTAGAGGTCGAGGTTTTGTTATTTCTAATTTCTAAGAGCAGGACAGTGCTGCCAATGCAACACCAGGTTGTGACTCTGGAGGCAGCACCACCACCACCACCACCACCACCACCACCACCACCACCACCACCACAGGCGCACCCGCTAGATGCAAGCTCGTGTACAGTCGCTGAAGCAGTTCGCACCAGACCAAGCCCGTGGGCCACAAAGTGAAACATGCGTGCCCTACTAAAAGAGGGTACCCACAGGATTACAAAGGGATACCATAAGCTGCCCTTGACAGGGTTCACAGCAGGTTCGAGCCGGCTCCTTCAAAACCCAGCCCTTTCCAGATGACTGTCGCATGCTGGGCTGGATGTTAGGCTGCATCATAGGCCATGCTTGTCTTTAAAGCTGATGTGATAATTTGGAGTTGGGCTGAGCTCCGACCCTGTTTTGGGGTATGTGCATTCACTCGGAACCGGTCATCAAAGCTTCAGGCCGTCGAGGAAGCGCTTTCCTCTGAGCCTCAGGAGGACAAAGCCCATCATCTTCCTTGCCTTTGAACCCGTCCACTTTCACAGGAGTTTTGTGGTTTCTGCGCCATGAGCCCAGCTCAGAGGGTCGGGGCCACGCTTGGGTTTCCGACTTCGCAAAGTTGACACATGGAGTGACTGAAGTGATAAATTGAAATTAAACGAAGCAACGAAGCACCGAAGAGCAGCGCAGTGCCATGACGGGCCCCTTTGCATCCCTTTGCCCTCTGCCGAGCAGCTCTCTGGCAGTGGTCGGATGGGCTTGATGGGCATGGGGCTGTGCGTGGCAAACTTGTACGGGGACTCCTTCACCGGACTTATAATATAACCTACTCAATCAGTTGTGCAACTTGTTGCGGGGAACACCGTGCCGCTGTTGTGGGGGAAATGGCGCTTAAGTGGGCCATCCCTGCGCCCGGCCATCGCGTACTCCCGGCATCAGCGTGACTCTGCTGACAAGGTGACGCCATCCCACTGAGTGGAGGGTCGGTCCGAAGCCCGCGTGCCTCTTGTCCGTAGAGGGCGACATCTTCCGAGATGCCTTTCAGTGACTTGAAGACGAGAACATGGCGCAAGCCAAGAACCCGAGCATGCACCCCAGGGCTGAGCACCATGCTCGCTGATACCTGAATGAACAGCCTCTCAAACTCTCTCTAACGGAACGTCAGTTGTATCCAAGAGGCGCAACTTCATCACCAAGTAGATGAGGAGCCTTGGTCGTGGGAGGTTTCGGGCATAGAGGGGTTTAGGATGCTTTAGGGGCGGAGGCTTCTGTTTCCAGCACCTCAGCAAAGCCTGAACAAAGACAGAGCACCCGAGAATGAAGTGGTCAGTTCTCCAACTTCTGGTCATTTGGGCGTCTCTATTCTTGTCTGTGGGGCAGCCCGAAAATCCAAAGTCAAAGGTCAAAAGTGTCACGAGAACCGGCCCTGCAAGAGTAAAGATGTGTAAAGTGCATTGGGTGGTTGGGCCGCGGGAAGTGGCCATGGTGAGGCCCTAGGCCAGACATTCCGCTCGATCCAGTTAATGCAGTTGTGTATGAGAATGGACTGTAGGAGTCTTAGGGAGTTACACAGATTTTAGGGGAAGTATTTTATGCGTCGCAAGCCACTAGGCATCCGAAGCCCGTCACAGGCAAGAAGCCCCAAACCCTAAACCTACATAATCCTTATAAACCCTCAACATCTTCAGGCCAAGGCTGCATAATGAGGGCAGTTGCAGCTGCTGCGTACGCCGCGCATGCCAGTGCTCCAAGCGACTGCTTTCCTAAAGGAACGTTTGCGGTAGGGATCAGTGCAGATCAGGGTATTGCGGTTCCTGAAGGCCCAAACCCTGAAGCATAGTGTCACTATGGTATCAGGCTATGAGCGTGCAGAGCCTCGCCTACTTGGGGGGGGGGGGGGGGGGGGGGGGGGGGGGTGAAGGTGGGCTTGCTTAAAGCGTGGACTGATAGCCGCGAAAGCCCCCCGGTCCTAGGAGCTGGAAGCTTCCGGAGTAGACGAGGCCTGCACAAGTAAACGCCCGAAAATACGGGGAGCATATCTACAACATGTGGAGACAGAATGTGACATACATATACATATATATATATACATATATATATACATAATATATACATATATATATATGTACACACATACATCTGTACACGCATCTCTTCAGCAATATTTCATATACGCGAGGGCGAGGCCCAAAGCTCCCTGCGAGCCTCTGAATCATGAGACTCCAAAACCCTTAAAATTATTGTTTGGTGTTGGGGTATGTTGGGATTGAGGGTCGAGGGAGCATTCCGAAAATTGTTTTGCCCTTTTTGTAGCTTAAGATACACAATCCTCACTTGAGGGGTATTGGGCGCTGTGGGTATCATGTCCCTTTTGAGCCCTTAACCGAAAGCCGTTTTGAATCCTTTCCCCGAGTGCGGGCCCTAACCCTAAACTTGCCCAAAACCGTAAAGCCCAAAAAGCAGTGACCACATGACAACTGCGGGCCTTTGTCCTTTGCGAAGATGCCCGTCAGAATGGTCCCTCCACACACCGCCATGTGGGGTTGTTCTGACGTAATTTCTGAGCACCTATAAAGCGAGGCCTTACATTTACTTTTAGGTTAACACGGACCATCATTTAGACAACGGGCCATGTCCTTGAAGTGTCAAAATAACAGGTCCCCGGCGTCCCCGGCTAATCGCACAGCCTGCAAATCCACCCATGCCGTGCAAGGCAAAAGCGTCCAGGGTGTCCTCTCAGAAGCTTCTTGCAGGCCAAGGGTTGCTATCGTGCCTCAAGGAAACTTGCCCCCACACAAGGGAAAAACGACAAAGGCACTCATTTGTCACAAGATTACAAAGGGCCTAAAAGTAGACCCCGAATATAAACGAGCACGGATGAGCACGTGGGCGGCTGGCAAAAGTGCATGTGCAGCCCAGCATCATCCACTAGCTGCACGCGGTTCATGATCTCCACCCATAAGAAGCACCAGGGAGCGCCAAGTGCACCTTAACGTGCAAACTTCAGAAGTCTTTAGAGCCCCTTAAAGAGCCCCTTTCAACCCTGAAGCTGCCCTAAAGGCCCTTAATTTCACGAGGAGCTTGGGAGTGCTTAGGTCGCACGGCCTAGGGCCTAGGGAGCTCCCAGAGGCTCCAAAGTGCACTGCCGTTGTGCTTTGGGGCTCATGTTTTGTGACAAAAAAAAGGGTTCAAGGGTTCAAGGCTTGGTTTGGGTTTGAACGTTTTGTGTCCACATCTGGAGTCTCACCTAATGTCGCCATTCAGGGCTTGCAGTTTCCCGTGCAACACATCCGTCTGCGCCCAACATGAGTTCAGACTCACCCAAAATCTCCTTTAGGCTTTTCCGACCCCATGTTTCCTTTTAGGGCTCATGGTTCCCCATGCAACATGTCCTTTTGCGGCTTGTGTTTAGGGTTTAGTGT